CCGAGCGGCGGCGGCCCTGGTACGCACCTGACCCGGATCAAGGCTGGCACGTGACTGCGTTGCTATCAAACTAGCTACACGAGCATGAGTTTACGCCCTTCTCCTGCTTTTGTGCGGGCTTTTCTGCAGCAGATACTTGATCAAACTAATGTGGCGGATGATGTGTGACCAGCCATAAAGCCTGCTGTTGCAAAACTAATAGTCACCTCTTTTGAGCAAATTTGACTGAACATAAGAACAGTAGGGACCCAGGGTCTGTCTACCCAGTATCCTATTTCCAGGCTGCGGAGAGGCAGCAGCATCAGGAAGGTGGGTTCCCCAGCCTGAGGCCCACTCTGGTGTGCTGCCCCTTGCAATTTCCCCAAATGTGAGAAACAGCTGCATCGTTTGTGGGAGAGGGGGGGGGGTACAAATCCAAACTAACCAAAACAGTGGCCATAAGAGGATGCCCAGGGAAGAGGAAGAAGAGGACAAGCCCATATGGTACTTCCCCTGAGTGTGCTACCAGCTACTCATGGTATTCTGATGATTTCCTGTGTTTCGGTAACCCCCAACGCAGGACTCTTCCAGATGCCTGTCCAGACTCGTCTTGACCCCCAGCAATATTTTTGCATCCACAGTATGCCTTGGCAAGGAGTGCGACAGGTCTGCTCCCTGCTGTGGGAAGAGCCACCTCCCCTTGTTTTGCATCCGGCTCCCACCAGCCTAGTTGCTGGAATTAAGGCAGGGAGCGCACGTGTGGCCTCTGCCCACCTTCTCGTCTGCTCATGAATTGTAGGCCAGGCCTACTCACCCGTTCCTCCTATCAAAGCCCTTTCAGACCACTGATTATTACTGTTGGCCTTCACTGACGCCGTTCCAGTTTCAGATGTAGGCAGATCACGCAGGTATATAATGGCATGTTTGGATGTTCTGTGTTTCGTTTCCTACTCCTTTCACAATGATTCCTAATCCTGGATTTTATTTTTTGACTACTGCTGATAATTTCACAGAATTCTCTATCAAATCCCCAGGGTCTTGCTGCTGAGTGATAGCGATCAGGTGACCGCCTGTCCTTTTGTATGTATAGTGAGGAGTGTTTTCCCCTCTCAGCATCACTTTATGTATAAATACACTGAATTTCCTCTGACTTTTTTTTTTTTTGTTGCCACTCAGTCACTCAGTGTGTAAGGTCTTTCTGCAACTCTTCACAGCTTTTCAACCTCCTCACTACGGTAAATAATTTCACATCATCAGCCAACTTTATAACCTCCTTGCTCTCTTTCCAAGGTCACTTACAGCCATGTTAAACAGCACAGATCCCAGCCAAGCTCCGTCACTGACCTCCCTCCATTTACCCTCACCATCTGTTTCCTATTTTTTAGCCAATCATTCATTCATGATAGACCTCTCTTATCCTGCAGCTGCACAGTTTGCTTGAAGGACTTTGGTGAAGGGCTTTTTTCAAAACTTTTCAGCCATTCAGAGAGTTTAGATTATCTGAGTAGTACTCACCTGCTTGTTGACCCTTCATGACTCTTCCCAAGTAGGCCATATTTCTACGGAGCCCACTGATTCTCTCCTTTCTTTTCAGAGCCTACTCATCTGGTCAGTGCAGCCCCTGGGCTTGCAGCCCTGGAGGTCGCCAGGTCTCCCCTGGAGCCTTTATTGGAAGACTGGCATCACATTTAGATACCAAGGATGTTTTAAGTGGGAAGTTACACATTGCTGTTAAAAATTCAGCCATTTCCCACTGGAGCTCTTTTAAGCTGGTTGCACGTCTTAGCTTTTGGCTACAGAGCATATTAAAATGGGAACGTTGCAGCTTGTGCAACGTTTGGAATTATCATCCCAATTCCAGGTCTAATAACTCATCTAAAGGTCTGCTGGCTGTACTGTCCTTATTACTTCTCTGGTACTCACAAACACAGCAGTGTCCCCTTTTCTGCAATCATGAGGCTATGCCTTAAACTGATAAGCAGTGTGACAGCATTGCAGGTGATTCTTATTTTCTCACCAGTTTTGTCACACAGGCACCAGACAGGTCCCCAGAACAGAGAGGTACAGGTGTATTCAAGCCCCTGCAGGGCTCCTACATCTGCAGGATGCTGGCTCCTTCCTCCTCCTCCTCCTCCAAACCCGTGGAGGGAGTGGGAGGGAGGAAGGGCTGTTCCCAATACTGGTTCACACTAATCCCATGCAGGACTTGAGGCTGAACCTGGGACAGGGCTGCCTGGTTTCTCCTGCCTCCAGGGTGCTGGGAATGGGTTAGTCCCCAGGATCTCAGCTGAGGAAGGAAAATCCTTTAGCCTCACAAAAACGGAAGGAAAAAAAAAATCACCCTATGTGTTCAAATGCTGGGTCAGGGCCCAGCTTTCTGAAATGGTCCTGTCCAGCCTGAGACTTGCGACCACCTGGGTGTTCAGAGCTGGTGCGCAGGAGTTGTCTGAGGGACAGTTTGGACACGTTGGCTCAGCACCACGGGCATTCCCCCGCCTCCCTTCCCTCTACAGGCACCTGCGTTTCCTGTGTTAGAGTCTCTGTGGGATGCTGGTTAGTGGGAATTAGTTTTGCTGTTTCATGAGAGTTTAAACCTCAGGCTCTCCCATTCCCTGGGTTTATGATTGTGTTACTCTGGCTGTCAGACAAGGGAAGCTGCGGCTCAGCTTTCACAGGTCTCTCCCGGTTGCTTGCTTAGGTGTTTGCTGAGGGAAGGGCCCAGGGTGCTGCTTCCCTTCTCGCGACTGAGGGGGAGGAAGGTGCAAGCAGCACCTGAGAGACGTCCCTGTGCCCTGGGAGAGCTCATGCTGCTTCTACCAGAGGACCGTTGTAAAAATGTGCTGGGTAATTTTCAGGCCTGCCCTGGAGCCTTTGAAAAAGCAGACTCCTTGAAGGCGTCTACCTGAGCAGCAGGCGGCTGAGAGCCAGGGTGCAGAAGTCAGAGCAGATGAGACCATCTCCCTGTCTCATCTCTAAGCTCCTTTTTCTAAATATTTGTTAGGAAATTATACGAAGG